CAAGGGTTAAGATCCCCTTACCGGTCATCTTTTTAAAAAAAAAAAAAAAAAAGAAGTCAGTTAGGGGTTGGCTGATTAGCTCAGTTGGTTAGAACATGGTGCTGATGATACCAAGGTCCAGGGTTCGATGCCTGTACCAGCCAGCTGCCTCCTAAAAAAGATAGATTATAATCACTGGGTTTGATTTCCCTTTAGAAAAATTAGGAGACATAAGCTCAGTTTGTGTTGTGAGTCCAGCTCTCTTTATCCTCCTGGTGGTGGCCCTTCCTTCCCAACAGGCCTAGGAAGAGTTACCAGGAAGGGACTCTTCCCAGAAGGGACTTAGCTTAAATTTTCTTCAGAGCTAGAGGTCAGGACAGGCCTGGAAAAGGGCAACAAAAGCTCTGAACACCACATTTCCTGAGAGCCAAGGCCCAAACAAAGTTTCCAGGACAGCTTTCCCCAGACCTCTGACCTGCCTGTGGAAATCTCTGGGCCTCTCTGTCCCTGAGCTCATGGACATGGTCACATATTACGCTAAGGATAGAATCACGGTGTTTAATTTTTCTACTTCTATTTATTACAGCTTCTATTTCCTCTTCTGTAACTAACGCATAGGGTTCTTTTTTGTTTTGTTTTACCTTTTTCTTTTTCTTTTTTTTTTTTGTATTGTTGTATTTGCGCATTGATTCTTATGAGGATTAAGTAGGTAAATGTATATGAAGTGATTGGAGTCATCCTTGACTCACACCCCCCCGCCCCCCAGCAGCTGGCCGGTAAAGGGGAATCCAAACCCTTGACCTTGGTGTTACATAACACCATGCTCTAACCAACCAAGCTATCCTGCCAGCTTGTTTTTCTTTTTTTAATCTCTTTAGGGAAAACCTGCCTATTCCAGCCTTCTTCCTCCTAGACACTCAGTAAATAACCCTTCCATGATATCCTTTTTATTTGAAAGTTCCTGGGCTGGCTGGTTGGTTCAGTTGGTTAGAGCGCAGCCTTGTAATGCCAAGGTCAAGGGTCTGGATTCCCATATCAGCCAGCCGCCAAAAAAAAAAAGGTTGTGGGCTTGCAGAGTCATCTAATACAACCCGGGTAGGTGATTCCTCCTTCTAATGGACAGCCAGCCTGCCTCCTCCTGGTTTCCACCTCTCTAATTCACCAGGAGGCTCAGACCAGAATAGGTCTCTGCCCAGGCCAGCCTGGCCTTTTGGCAGAGGTGACCACTGCCAGCTGGGCTGTCTGGCCTTTGGCCCAAAAGTCAGCAAAGAAAGGATGACTGACCGCAGAGGCCTCTGGATACAATCAGGGACCTGACTTGGGTTAGTTGCCATTAATTATCTCCATAAAATGCCCATAAGCCATGTGAGGGCAGACACCATGGCTTGTATCACCAGCGCCTGCCCACAATAAGGGTTAAATTAAAAAGTGAAAATAAGGGCCGAGCCCGTGGCGCACTCGGGAGAGTGCGGTGCTGGGAGCGCAGCAGCACTCCCCCCACTGCGGGTTCGGATCCTATATAGGGATGACTGAGCGCTACTGAGCGCGGCTGAGCACGGTAAGGCCGGTCTCAAAAAGGACAAAAAAAAAAAAAAGTGAAAATAAGAGAACTCATGGTTGGTGTGGCTGCAACCACATCAGAGATGTGCTGTTTCTCAATTTCACTGTCACTAGATTTTGATAATTAGGAACTCAAATTTTGCCGCTCCTTCCTTTCCAACACCAGACTCAAAAGCAAGCCTATATTGAGAACACAGAGACCTGAGTTGGTGATCTGGGGACATTCAAAACTGACAAAGATACCACCTTGCCGCAAGGACTCCAGGAGCGAGAACGGGGCAGGGTTTGTCTATAAACATGGACCTAATAAAATTGTTTGCTTTTGTTGTTGTTGTTGTCAGCTGGTTAGTACAGGGACGGAACCCTGGACCTTGATGTTATCAGCACCACACTCTAACCAACTGAGCTAACCAGCCAGCCCAAAACTGATTTTTTTTTTT